GGGAAAGAGGAGAGTTCTACCAAGTAAAAAATATAAATATATTGATATATATCTATACAGGGACCTAATTATCCAGTCTTGCATGCCACATGGTCACAGCATGTGAAGCAAGTGTGGGCCTCCTGCTCCAACCAGGTCATGACCATAGATGCTGCCAAGCAATGGAAAATCAGAACTATGGTAGATATATACTTACAATACTCCCTGCACCTGTACAAACAAAACTATATTATTTTAAACAGCAAAATAGTATGTTTAAATCAATGCATGAATGTAAATATTCAAAGATTTGCCTTCTTAACTATGTACCACATGTACAGATGAAAACTAATATTGTTTATAGGAAATCTGTATCAGTGGTTAAATGACTAAAGAGAAAAAGATACCAGAATTATTGTTGTCATGTTTCTCAAACAAGCCATTAATGTATATTTAGTATTTAAGGATATTGCTCAATAAATATGTTCCGTACCAAAAACTGTGTTGCATATACAGATTGTGCAGTACCCTATTTTAAAAAGGCACCGTAATTAATTTTTATTTTAAATAAAAATGTACTTGTAAAAAGTTCCCTGTGTCCTGTGGGTTATGTAGCTGAGAACAAAGTCTGCATGTTGAAGAGAAATGCTGAAGGGAGGAATGGCTGCAGTGCCTCTTCAGGCACTTCTCTTACCCCCAAGTGAACCCTCCTTGCTTTAACACTTTCTGTTCTGGTTTCAAAGAACCTCATGGCTGCTGCTCACACCTGTGTCCCGCTGGGTTCTGGTTCTGTCTTGCCTCACCCTGCAGTTTTACTCCCAGGTACATGCATTGCTGTTGCTTCATAACTGAAGGAATTACACTCATATTCCTGCAGTCCCCAAAGCTCAAGAAGCCCCTTCTGTTTATGCCAAAGGTGCTGTAAATTTCCCTAACAACACACTTTTAGTTTTAGAGTGATTGCTTTATCTTTCACATAATACTCTCTACCTGTGTTTCTTTTTGGTTCAAAAATAAACTTCCTTTTTCCACACAAGAACAAAAGCAAATTATGGGCTGATCCTTCAGCAGATAAACACTTACC